TGTGAAATGTGTTTGGCCATGCTGAATTAATTAAGGCCTTAGGTGTACTAGTGAAACAAACATTTAGTGCGAGATCCCTGGCGATAAGAGGGAAGGACCTGTTAGGAAAACTTCCTTCTCTTCCCTCTACCCTTGTGAATGATGCAGCTTGAATCTGGCTGGCTGATTCCTTTCTCTCGGCTAGGTCATGCACACGGTACTGCAGATAGTGGAGAAGGGGTGATCTTGAGTTAATGTTACATGCGTTGTGTTTTCTGCTCCAACTGTAATCCTCTCCTCCCTAATGCTGAATATGCAGAATTCTAAATGCAACGCCATGGACTTCAGTGGAGTTGCTGCAAAGATGTATTTGACCCATGTGTTTTAAAACTACAATATAGTGCAGACAAGAAACAAGCCTGTGACTGTTCTCACAGGGAGAACGAAACATCCGCTGACTTTTGCCGTTAATGCCACCTCTCATTGTGCTTGGCTTGGGCAATGAAAGTAGACCAGCCAGTTCAATTATTCTGGCTCCCATGTGCTGGCCCAGTGCTGCATTGTTTGGACAGCCAAAGAGCAGGGGAGTTTCACTGAGTTTCTTAAACACACGCAATGAAAAGATTTCCACTAGGTAGGTGTTCAGGTCTGTCTGTGCTACATCTGAAAATTAGCCTCCCAGCCCTAGGCTGCAGCCTGGGGGCGGAGGGGGGGGAGGAGGATTGCTGCTAGTGCATTCAAAATAGCAGCATGTAGATTGTGGCTTTAGTGGGAGCTTGGGTTCGAACCTGTGAAAACGGTTTGTCAACCTGTTTTAATAGACCAATTTCTGGTGGAAGAGAAAGCTTTGGAGCTACACACAGCTCTGCTTCAGGTCAGGAAAAAGGTATGATGTAATTGCCTGGTGCCATTCTGATTACTTCCCCCACATGTAGAAATTTGCTAGCATCCTTACATGTTGTTACTAGCATAGATTAAATGAATGGACAGGAGAACACAGGAATAGAAGTTAATGGATCTAATCAAGTGGCATTTTCCAGTGTAAAGGAGCAAAATAACTTTTTTTGTGGTATGTAAGCGGTTTGTGTGTGGGCTTTTTTTTTTTTTTTCCTGCAGCCCGTGAGTTTCCTCTCAAGGTCTCTCAACCTTTCCTCCTCAAGCAACAAAGATGACAGCGGCTTGCTTAACAGGGGATTTGTGCAGGTGCAGGTGAAGACGGAGAAGACTTCAACCTCCCGGAAGATCCCAAGTCAATTCAGACCACCTGCTCCGGTAAATGCTGGCACTGCCCTCCACCCAAAAGCAGTGTTTCCTGCAAGCTGAGCACTTGGACAGCCACCCAGGATAAATTAAAATGCCTTCCATCTGATTAGCAGAGTGCCCAAAGCCTGCAGCATGTGTAGAAACATGGTGCACATACACACACATGCTTTGGTGCACATAACAAAATTTATTCCACACACGGATGAAAAAATAGAGGGAACATTGCCCAAAAGGCTCTGTGATTTGCAAAACCCTGTCCTTCCTGTACTGTTGAAAGGGAGATGATCACTAAAGTAAGCACAGAGAGCAGTATCCCTGGAGATCACTGTCCAGGCTTCATGTGCTGAGCTTTGCCTTCGTCACTATGTCTGTGCTGGGATTAAAAACCCCATAGCAATGAGTCTCCGTGCCTGGGTTGGGCTGTCAGCGCTCAGGCTGCGGGACTAAAAAACATCAGTGTAGATGATCGAGTCTGCCGTGGATGACCTGGCAGAGGGGACGGATTGCACCCTCAGCAAGTTTGCGGATCACGTGAAGCTAGGGGGAGAGATAGATATGCTGCAGGGCAGGGATAGGGTCCAGAGTGACCTGGACAGATTAGAGGATTGGGCCAAAAGAAATCTGACGAGGTTCAACAAGGACAAGTGCAGAGTCCTGCACTTGGGATGGAAGAATCCCAAGCATAGTTACAGGCTGGGGACTGACTGGCTAAGTAACAATTCAGCAGAAAAGGACTTGGGGATTCCAGTGGATAAGAAGCTGCATATGAGTTAACCGGGCGCCCTTGTAGCCAAGAAGGCTAGTGGCATATTAGGGTGCATTAGGAGGAGCATTGCCAGCAGATCTAGAGAAGTGATTATTCCCCTTTATTTGGCTCTGGTGAGGCCACAACCTGAGTATTGGGTTCAGTTCTGGGCCCCCCACTATAGAAAGGATGTAGACTTATTGGAGAGGGTCCAGCAGAGGGTGACCAAAATGATTAGGAGGCTGGAGCACATGACCCATGAGGAGAGGCTGAGGGATCTGGGTTTGTTTAGTCTGCAGAAGTGAAGAGTTTAGTCTGCAGCAGTGCAGCCTTCAGCTACATGAAGGGAGGGTTCCAAAGAGGATGGAGAGAGGCTGTTCTCAGTAGTGAGGGAGGGCAGAACAAGGAGCAATGGTCTCAAGTTACAGTGGGAGAGGTCTAGGTTAGATATTAGGAAAAACTATTTCACTAGGAGGGTGGTGAAGTACTAGGATGGTTTACCTAGGGAGGTGGAATCTGCATCCCTAGAGGTTTTTAAGTCCCGGCTTGACAAAGCCCTGGCTGGGTTGATTTAGTTGGGTTGGTTCTGCTTTGGGCAGGGGGGCTGGACTTGATGACTCCTGAGGTCTCTTCCAGCCCTAGGATTCTGTGCCTTGGACATACCCTTTCTGCCCCTGAGAGCGAGAACAGGAACAGGAGTAGGAACAGAGACCCCATCATGCCTGTGGGAAGAAAGAGCTTGCATTTCTGTGCAGTGCCATCTGCTGGTTCTTGGAGCGGAAGCATCATTCTTCCTTCTAAACCAGTCTCCAACCTCTTAAAGCACAAGATCACTTTTTGAATTCAAGTGCAATCCAGGATCTACCTGAAACCCACGTACCCTGGCTCCACATCCTTCTCCATCCCTTCTGAGGCTCTGCCCCATCCCAGCCCTTCTCTGTGTCCCACCCTGCTCTCTCCTTCCCCCATTCTCACTCATTTTCATCTGGCTGGAGCAATGAGGCATAGGGGTGCAGGCTTTTTAAATTCAGAGCTCGCTGCTCCCTAAGCCCAGAGTTTCTGCTGCATCTCTGCAGTGACTCCTCTGCTGGCTATTTCTCTCCAGTGCGAGACTCTGGCTAAACTGGGCCGAATGGTTAGTGCTCTTCAGAAGAGGGTTAGGCGTATAGCCATGACAGCTGCACTTCACATCAGTGAGGAGAGCAGTAGCAAGCGCTCTTGATCTTTGTGCTTCAGGGCCCAGACAGTTCGTTGGCTGGGGAAGGTAACTTCCCCAGCACGGGCTAGCCTTGCACAGAAAAGTACATTCTGCAGAGTTCCCACCTTCCTGCAAACAGGCATTGGCCTTGGTCAGGGCCAAGATATTCAATTAGTTGGGCCATCATTCTATTGCAGCGTGATTGTTCATTTGTTGGGGACATTATGGGCTGTTATAGCTGCAGGCTTAAATGTCAGCCCTCCTGTGATCTCTAAAAGGCATTGGTGTAATGCTGAGTGATCTGTGAGTGCGCAGAGAATGGCAGGAGATGCTTTAACAACTGTGCAGGTCACTAGTGTGAGTCCCACAGCAGAACGCCTTTGGGGGGAGCTGGCCGCATGGCAGTGCAGCACTAGCACTGCTATAGCTGTTAGCATGGCCTGCCCCTGTGGCTTGTAGGAGGCAAGCCCTGAGGCAAGAGTCTTGGGTTCTGTTCTCTCGTTTGCGGGGCACCAGCAGTGCAATAGGGGCTTTCCAAAGGGGGATTATTTCACTAGCCCTAGGTGGAAAGGCGAGGGGCGGAGCCATGTGCTGATCTGGGCAGGTTGTGGGGCCGACTTGTGCATTGTGGGAGGCGGAAGCAGTCGCAGGTGAGGGGAAGCAGCCGAGTGGGAATCGGTGCTGTGCCTGTGGAGGAGGCAGGCAGCCAGATTTTCATGGCTCAGACAGGCCCAGTCATTCCCTGCTTCCAGGCACAAAACGTCTGTTTTCCATCAGGAACGGCCACCGGGGCAAAAACCTGATGCTGGGCAAGCAGGCACCCTGCTGTCCCTAGCGTGCTGAGACTGAGGAGCAGGAGTAAGGGTGCGAGTCCTCTGTCTGAGCTCTGCTGCCAATGTCTTGGCGAGGCTCTGCCCTCCATTTACGGGGGCACCGCAGTCTCGCCGCGGCTCTTGAGCGAGAGAGAGAGAAGCCGGGTTCTTGCCTGTGCCAACAACTTACTTATTTTCCCGCGGGTGCACTCCTACCGCTGCAGTCCCATCGGCGGGGGGGGCAGGGGG